TACCTTTACGAAGAGTGTGGAGTTTGTCCCGAAGCTGATAAACATGAGCGGTGGACACGGAGTTGTACCGTGCGGCCAAAGCATCCCAGAGGGCAGCAGATGTGGTGAAGCCGCGAGCATGTTTGTGAACGGAGGGGCTGATGACCGCTAGGAGGCAGGCGCGGATCTGTGTGTCAACGATGGTCCAGGAGGTATACTCTGGATTAGGGACGGTTTTATTGTTTTTGGAGATAGTTGGCGCCGGGGCTGCTTCATGACCATCAATCCATCCAAGGAGGAGATTAGCTGAAAGAGCTGTCTGGACATTGAGAGACCATGCCGGATAATTTGTTTCGGTGAGTTTTTCTGGAATTAAGTTGTGGAGACTCCGAAGCAAAAGTTTTACTCCGGAGGGTAAGGACGCCAAAGGATCCGACGGGGCTGCCATGGTGGGCGGCGGTCGGAAAAAAAGAGAGGCTAGGTTTTTGAGAGCCTTAGCTCTGATACCATGATACAATTTGATAATAACTTGTCTTATTGAATATTGAGAGATATGGCCCTATATATAGGGAATACAAGAGTAATCAAAGTACAAGTAGGAAAGGAAAGAATAATCCTAGTAGGAAAGGAAAGAAGCATCCTAATTTAATTATACTTCCTAATAGTTTTCTCTAATGTTTTGAGTATTATATATACTCCGTATGTTGTCATTATTAACAATATAATTCTTAATTTAGGGATAAAAATATGATTTTCCTATTTTAATTTTTTTCTTATGTTTTATTTTTATTTTAGTTTTTCTTCCAAATTGAAAATTTATAGACAAAAATTGTACAATTTTTATTCATGTACGTATTTCTTCAATTTTTTGATATCAACCCACTTATTTTATCAATTTACTAGCTACTTGCTTCGAAGATTTTTTTTACTCCCTCTACCCCAAAAAGAATGTCATAGTTACTACTTCGACATCTCGATAACTTTTATTTGTTACTCATTATATTTGGTTGATCATTTGATAAAATAAAATACTCTTATCGTATTTTATTTTGTAGAACTTTTGATTTTTTAATAAAAGTGGGAATTTTTTTTGGTACAGATAAAAAAGAGAAATGGGAAATGCTTTCATCGAAGGAAGGAGTATATGACTAAAAAATGAAAGGGAATAATTATTGAAAAGTGATAGTGTGAGCACAACGTAGAAGAGAAAAATGGGTGGCTTAAATTTAGGGATAGAGACATAGAGTATTGAATTGATGTGATATAAAATACGGAGTTATATGAAAAAAAGTACTCCCTCCGTCTTAAAACTTTCTTCCCGTTGTGCAAAACGAAGAAAAATTCTAAGTTTTTTCAATCTATTTTATTTAAATATTGGTATAGAAATAAAAAATAAAACATACATATTTAAAAACTACATCAAAAGTTCAACAAAACAAGTGGTGACAAGAATATTTTATTTTATCATATAGGCCATGAAAAAACACAAATAAATATAAATTCCCGTGAAGTTGGAATAGTGCTCTGGGAAGAAAGTTTTAGGACGGAGGGAGTACTTTTTTTCGTCTCAAATTTGATTATAAATTAGGACTTATGAGGTAAAACTTTGTACCTTTTAAAATCATTTTATTTACAAGTTGTTATAAA